GGTGGGGGGGGGGGGTGTCCTTGGCCAAAACTCCTCAAGTCTATGGGTCTGTTTCCCCAGGTACCCTGATGCTTTAACACTTGGTATTGGGGACTCCAGGTCCCATAACCAAGGGGATCTGGTCCACTGGAGGGAGCTGTAGAACTTCTCTATCCTAGCCAACTCCAGGGTCCTGGGACCCCAACTCTCAGAAGATGCTTGCGAACTTGGCAAGGCGTGCAGGGCCGTCCTCTCCATTAAAAAAAGAATCATAATTGCTGGGTTGTAGTTCCTGTGGTCACTGTTCCCTGGGATTCCGGAAGTGACCCCCTACCCTCCATCCCATAGGACCGGGCGGGTGCCCAGGAAGCCTAGATGTGAAGGGAGTACATGGAGCAGAGGGACCAGGATAGGTGCAGGGCAGAGGAGAAAAGCGTGACCCAGACAAGGCAGGGGGCACACAGCCCTCCTTGGGGTCCTCAGTCCCCTAGCTTGGCCAGCGGGGGCGGCGGGGTCTTAGGTCCTAGCCCCTGAGGTGCCCGAATCTGAGCTAGGGGCGGGTCAGGAGGTGAAGGCTACAGGGCCCCGCACCTCGGGCAGCAGCGACCTAGTCGCTCTCTCTCCGCCCCCGCCCCTTCCCCGCAGCGGGTAGCCAGCCTGAGAGCGCTTGATCTCAGCAAAACAAAACAAACTCGTGCCGGCTTCCTGTTGTGCAACCGGGTCCGGAGTAAGCCCGGGACTGAAAGGCCGCTGGCCGCCTGCTGGGAAGCAGGAGCGGTGGGTACCCGGTGCTGCGGACAGAGCCGAAGCCCGGGGATCCCCACGCGGGAGCGCACCGCACCGCCCCGCACGCCCGCGTCCCCACGGTGCAAGTGCCCTCCCCAGGATGTCTTTTTGCTGTCGCCTCCCAAACACACTACCAAGTCCGAGGGCGCGACCTCGCGGAGCCAGAAAGCTTTTCCCAAAGTGTGTCCTCCAGGTACCTAACTGAGTCATCCATAGGATGACAAATCCACTGGGGCCAAGGTTTCCAGACACTTGGGTGAGTTCCTGGCCCCCGGGGTGGCTTGTCAGCTCCAGTGAGTAACTTGGAGCTGTCGCTCGGGGCAAGGTGTGTGTCTAGGAGAGCGGCAGCTCACTCACGCTTTCCAGAAAGTGGCCCGGCCATCTTCAAAATACACACAGGGTCATTTGTAGGGACAGGAACCTTGAGGAGGACAAAGTCCCGAAGACTGAGACATTGCCCAAACAGTGCTGACATTTTGTCGGACACCATAAAAATGTAAACGCTAGGTGACGAAGCCGGTGGGCAGTGTTGGTGACTGAATGTGTCTGCGCATTCGTAGAGTGGGAGGTTATAGTTACAGGCTTGGCGGCTGCGGGTCGCTGGACCGGTCCCCGACTAGTAGCTGTACAGCCCCAACCCACTGGGCACCTCGGCTTGGGTGAGACACAGGAGTGGAAAACCGCCTCCGTGGGGCTCCACAAACACGTGGAAACCGAAAAGATAACTTCAGCCCCGACTTACGTGAAAGACCTCAAGTCACCCCATCAGTCCCCACTTTGCCAAAGTTTCCCTTCAGCGGGAGCTGGGGGTGAAGCGCACCGTGCCTCAGCGCCCTGTGACTTGCCCTGACTGTGTAGTCTGCTGGAACCTGTGATTTTAAAAAAAGAGTCTCTTCCTCATCGGCGAAACTTCAACACCTTGTTGGTTTCCTTTCTAAGTCTTCTAAACTCTGTGCTCTTAAGCAACTCACAATAACCAGCTGGATGACTAGGGAGAGTTGCTATCAGTCTCATAAGGCATGCCCAGGTCTCTAGAAGCCCCATGGGGGGTGGGGGTGCGTGTCCTCAAACCCGCGCGACCGCCAACCAACCCGGCGTGCTAAACTATTTCTAATCCGGAGTTTGTGTCTCGGAGCTTGAACGCCCCCCCACACTCGAGCGCCTTCTCTCTGCCGTCTCTCGCCTGCAGAACAAAGTTTCTATGGCATCCACTTACCAGGTAACCGGATTTCCACAACAAAGCTGGGCGCGCGGGTCCCTTCCCCCGATCGGCCCGCGCGGGTGACAGCGGACGGCCAGCACAGGCGACGAGTGAGTGGGTCCCCAACCCTGCAGCGCGCTCGGTGGACTCTGCCTCCTTCGGAAATGAAAACTCCCCTGCAAGCCCGCGGCCGGAGCACGGAAACCCGGCCCGAGGGCCGTGAGTGCGCGCGCGCCTGCGAGGGCAGCGGCGGCCCGGGGAGGAGGCGGCGGGAGGGCAGCGGCCGGACTCTCGGCATCAGCTGGTCCCCGCTCCGCACAGACACACGCCAATCATGTGTTCACAAAGTTGAGTTGCGACTCTGTGCCTCGCCCTTCGCGTCCATCCTCGCCCTGGGCCGCGGAGATGCGAGGAGGGGCCGGGCTCGGGATGCAGGCTAATTGAGCCGGCGGTCCCGTCTGCGGAGCGCCGCTGCGAGCCTGGACCCGGGCCCGCCGCGGCCCCGAGGTGCGCGGCCCCTGGCGCCGATGCCCGTGCGCGCCGCGCTCTGGACTGCCCGGGCGGCGCAGTGGGGACGCGGCGGAGGGGAAGGGGGAAGAGGGCGGGAGGGAGGCTGCCCCGCTAGGAGTGTGGATGTGTGCAACCGCGAGGGCCGGCCCGCAGCCAGCTGCTTCCTGAGTGCGAGCGCCGGAGGGGGCGGAGAGGGATGAGGGCGGGCTCGCTGGTCACCAGGCCAGCTTGTGTCTCCCTCTGTACGCGTTCATACACGCGCTCCTTCCCTTAAAACTCCGGAGCCGGGGACCGCGGGAAGACTCACCTTTCTTCGACCTGTTTGTTGCGCTTTCTTTTTTAACGTGAGAAAGTGTCAGCCTTTCCACAGAACTTGATGTCAAACCATAAAGAACAGGGGGGAAAATACTCGGCCGGGAAAGGAGCAGAGCGGAAACTAAAAACTGAAAAATGGCAAAAGGAATTCTAATATGTGGGATTGGGTGCTGGTGACAATTTCAGGACCGAGGGAGGCAGGCAGGACGCTTGTGACATCTTGCAGGGTGTGTTCACCACGGTGAGGGAGGTGTAGCAGGGTGTGGACTCCACACAGGCTGCGAGGCTTAGCCCTTCCAGAGGACGACACATCTGAACAGAGGGACTTTCTGTTAAGCGTTCATCATCTTCAGCTTTGCACCTCACCTAAGTTATGGCCCTTCCCTTTGACTTGATCAGAGCTCCCGGAAGCCTGTCAAAAGAAAACCTGCTTTTAGTGGCTCCCTATGGATCGCCACAGAAGGCGAAGACTTCCATCTTGGAATTCAAAGTATATAATGTACACAACATCTCCCAGTTAGGCCTTTGTGCAGTGAGTCTTACGCCTCTTGGATGAAATGAAGGAGGGTGCCACACCTAGAATCCCACAAGCCCAGGGCTGGAGAGATGGCTCGAGTCAGTGAAGTGTTTGTGGCAGGAGCATGAGAACCTGGGTTCAGATCCCCAATCCCCAGGCTAAAGAAAGCCAAGTGTGGTGACGCACACTTGTGATCCCAGCACTGGGGAGGCAGACAGGAGCCCACTGGCTGCCAACTTAGACAAATCAGTGAGCTCTGTTAAAGACCCTTCCTCTAAAAAAAATAAAAAGTAGACAAATAGAGCAAGTGATCAAAGGATATTCCTGTATGAACCTCTGGCCTCCATATGCATATGCACACATGTGCACACAACTACATGAAGAAACACACAAAGAATTCCACTGGTCCTTAGAGTCTGTTCTGCTCTCATTGTAATAAAAAACATTTGAATAGATGTTGTGATCAGATAGAAGTCCTCAACGACACAAATAACTTAGCCTAGAAAACCAAATCAATAAGATTGCTGGTGACTTTCATGTGTCTTATTTCAACAGAAGCATTACTAGACTTTTTTTTATGTGTGTATGAGTGTATTGCTTGCATGTATGAGTGCACCCGTGTCGTTCAATGCGGCAGAGGTCAGAAGAGGGCGTCGGATTCCCCTGGAACTGGAGTTAAGGGTGGTTCTTACCCACCATGTGGGTGCTGGGAATCGAATCCAAGTCCTCTGCAAGAGCACTCATTGCTCTTAACCGCTGAGCCATCTCTCCAACCACACTAGACTTGCTCTTAATCCGTGGTAATAAGCAGCGTCACCAATAGACCTCTGGTTTTCTTTTTCTTACAGATTTTATTATGATTCTCATTGATGGGGGGGCACAAACTCATCAGAATATTAAAAACTATAGTATCTGTCAGCAGAAGTAGAGCATGGAAAATAAAACAGTAAAGTGCTGTGATATGTCATTCTATTTTCTCTTTGTTCTTCATCTCCTTTTTAAATATAAGTGCCCAAGTCCCAGATGGCAATAGATGGGTTCAACCAACCACACATTACAAAAATAAATAAATAAAATAAAATAAAATGAAGCATTCCATGATATCACAGAAACAAAGAAACCGAATGGTGGAAATTGCCATGATTAGTCCATTGTGGCTAGTTATTGCAACATGCCTGACATTTGCATAAAAACGGCTCATGAACTGCAGCCTTCAGGAGCAGAGCTAGATGGGAATATTTCAAAGCATCATGGGAAATTCTGATCACCACTCTCTTGTGCTGTACAGCTGTTCCCCAGGCCTGAGTCTGGCCAGTGGTAGAGAATGAAAAAAACAAAAAAATAAAAAGTCAAAACTTTCCAGCATCCCAAATATCACTGTCATACAGTGGTTTTGGTACATGCAACAATGCAATGATGTCCTGGGGACTGGTAGAAACTGCAGAAACGTCTCCCTTCATAAGAATTTTGAAACTGCAAGAGAAAAATCCTAGTACTGCATAGCACTACACCCCACTTTAATCAATGGCTCCTGGAGATGAAGCAGTGGGAAAGTTCTGAGTCACTAATCTGGAGATCCCCCAAATTCTCTTCATTTCCTTATGCTCAAGAGTGGGCCTGGCATTTCATTCAGGTGGTGTTTTCATGAGTCTCTAATATTCCTCACACATGTACCACTAAATAGCTACACTGCTTTGGTTATGTTTTTAAAATATTTTTATTTATTATTTTTATTTTATGTGTATGAGTGTATTCCTGCATGTATGTGAGTGCACCCGTGTCGTGCAATGCCGTGGAGGTCAGAAGAGGGCTTTGGATTCCCCTGGAACTGGAGTTAAGGATGGTTCGTAGCCGCCATGTGGGTGCTTGGAATCGAACCCGGGTCCTCTGCAAGAGCAGTCAGTGCTCTTAACCACTGAGCCATCTCCCAGCCTGTGGTTACACTTTTTTTAAGGGGAGTGGTACAAGACCAAACATCTGTGATGTTCTTATATTCCAAGAATTATAGTAAAAATGCAGTACTACCAAGAACCCTAAGTGACCCAGAATGAGATCTGTGCCACTTCTAAACTGAACTGGTCAGAAGAGAACCATGGGAGACAATAGGAAAGGGAAGCAGTGTCCTTCAGAAATGTTACTCCTCCCTCTCTATGCTTAGGAGTCATACCTGGCAGCCTTTCAGCCAGAGAGGTGGGAACTGTAGCCCAGCCAGCATCTTCCTTCTCTAGAGACCCAAGTTGTATGTGCTCAATCGCTGACTCAGGACAGCTGACTCAGCAGACTGCACCCTGCTGCCAGCTCAAATCCACTTCTCATTCACTTGAGAAATATTCAGGGAGTACTTACTCTGTCCAAGCACTGAGACTAAGAGAATTAACTCTTGAAGGGATGGAAAGATGGCTCAGTAGTTAAGAGCACTGGCTGTTCTTGCAGAAGACCTGGGTTCAAGTCCCAGCACCTGTATGACAGCTAACAACCATCAGTAATTCCAGTTCCAGGGGACCAGAGGCCCTTTTCTGACCTCTACAAGCACTGCACAACACGGGTGCACCTACCTACATGCAGGCATACACTCATAAACATAAAATAAAAATATTTTTAAAAGAATTAACTCTTGCAAACACTTTGCATAAACACTTTTTTGAATTAACTCAAAGCCTTTGCCTTGTGCCTCAAGGCTTTTTCATATATCATTTCGTCTTTCCTCAGAGCAATGGAATGGCCACTTATAGTCTGTATTTAGAAGTGCGCATGGGGAGCCCAGCATGCAGGAGGCAGAGGCAGGCCAATCGCTGTGAAATCAAGGACAGCCTGGTCTACATAATGAGTTCCAGGTCAGCTGTGGCTACAGGGAGATCCTGTCTCAAAAAAGAAAGATAAAGAGATGAGAGAGAGAGAGAGAGAGAATAAAATAAGTGAAAGGGGAAGCTCAGTGAACAGTTAAGGAGAATCATAGTCATAGTGGGGTTTGCCAGTGCAGAAGCACTGAATTCTTCAGCGTTCTTGCCCTACACTATACAAGGCACATTGTAAGCCACTTCTCTTCATCACTGTGACAAAATACCCAGCAAAAGCATCTTAAGGAAGGAAGAGATTTACTTCAGCACAATGCATCACAGCAGACAATTCAGATAAAGGAATGCTGGTACTCCAGTCACTTTCTCCTTGTTATTCAGTCCAGGATCCCACCTCAAGGGGTGGTACCACCCACATTCAGGGTGGGTCTTCTCAGTTCAACCACTCTGGAAATGCCCTCACAGACACACCCAGAGGTTGACCTCCTAGGTAATTCTAAACCCAGTCATCAATGAAGATTAGCCATTATACAAGTGTATAAGATGTGTAGTGTCTTGTAATCAGTGTTGAGGAGCATAACTAAGTGTGCAGCGAGTGTGTATAAGAGGTGGGAACACTTCCCTTCAGTGTAGCCTGGGGTAGCCTGACTATTTGAGCTGGCCTTCAAAGAATGGGTGAAAAAGTGGTCAATAAAGGTGACTGTTCCAAGTGCTGGATTGGGCCAGGTCAGCTGTGGCTAGAGGGAAATCTTTGGGCAGGGTGTTGGAAGGAGGGTGGACTTTGAAATCAGAAAACCTGGAAATCCCAACTTGATGACTTATGGAAGACTGGAAGTTGTCCCTTGGCCCCACTGTCTGAGGTACTGTAAAGACTGAACGGGAACTGTGGAATAAGTTCCACAATAGTTAAAACAGAAGCATTTGGAATCCCGAGGCTAAAGGCATAGAACATTCCCAGAGGGAACTTCTTAACAGCCAAGCTTCAGAACTTTTTAAGTGTCAATCTGGGGGATCTC